AGTGCTGCTGATTTGACACAGTTAGACTGCCCACTTGCCTACTTGCCTATGGTCTAACGTGAGTAACACTTTCAAGGCCACTTCCGGACCTTCCGGAAGACTGCAGACTTGACTTTTGGCACTGTAGCAATCATAACTTATGCTGCAGTTGCGATTCCTAAGACACGTACACACGGAGAGTGAGACAGAGAGAGAGAGATAAAGAGCAAGAGGGACAGAGATACGTATCTGGTGCGTGTGAGAAGTCAACTATGGTACTGACGTCATGCACATTGGTTTTCAAAGTTGAAGTGAACCTGATGCAAAGGTGTAGGTAGGACAGGCAAGATGAGTAGAGTAGGTTGGGCACCAGATAGTAGGATCGACATTGAACACTGCGGGTTTGACCGTTGGCTCACGAGATCACTACATCGCTCTCATTTGGATGAGATGCATTTCAACTCTGCTCGTTACATGATTATTTGGACTTCTGCAGGATTGGTTGTGACTTAGACTTCTATGTAGTGCATTCATTCATATTCCTTATTTTATTATTATTATTATTATTATTATTATTATTATTATTATTATCATCGTTATTATTGTTATTATCACTATTATTATTATTATTATTATTATTATTATTATTATTTATTATTATTATTACTATTATTATTGCTATATATGTATATTATTATTATTATTATTATTATTATTATTATTATTATTATTATTATTATTATTATTATTTGATGTGGTTACTACGTCCATGTCGTTTGTTCTCACCTAATTGCTAAATCAGGTATATGCATGTGAAACCCTGTTCCTAGCTCGAGCCGTGATCACCTTCGTGCACGTTGGCCTAGAGCAAGTGTGAGTGCAAATTGATTGATGTATGGATGTAGGACGGGTGACAGGATAAGGCTCCAGGGTGAGGAACATCCTACTACTCGTTTCTACGTGTGTACATATCTTAGATAGCTAGGTTGACAGACTGAAGATGGGGTACTCCTGTGCGGGTCATCCCATGGTCTGTCTAGGTCTGAACCAGTTAAACTAAAACAAGTGGTAGGATAGTCATGTCTGAGCTATTCTACTGCTTGACTAAGTATGAGGTGAAGACTTCTGTCAGAGTCTTCTTACTTCATATTTACATTTGGTCTGACTATATTATAGTCCACTCATAGAATTGAAGTTCACATCGCTGAACTTCGTGTAGAGTGATAGTGAGGGAGGTGTTGAGATCTTGTGACCTGTGTGTATTTGCAGGTCATTTTAATCAAGGAGACTTGTTATGAGTCTATACAAGTCTACATGCTGTTGCTTTATAGTAACAGGTTGGTTTACCGACTTAACCTTCACTCACCCTCTACACCCACACTTTGCATCTACCTTTGCACTAAATGGCATTTCTGATTTTCGAGTCAGCATCTGAAGGGCTAAGTTTGATCAAAGAGGTCCTTGAATAACTGAGTCGAAAAGAAAATGTCTGGCAAAAGGGTCTGAAAGCGTAAGTGTAATGTGTATGAGAGTGAATGAATGGTTGACTCTGCTAGGATTATGGAATGTGATTGACACTTGTTTGCAGGTCCGTAAGAAGACCAACCACGTGCTATTCACTCTACTCGCATTGCTGAACTTATGTTGAGCCTCGACTCAGACATTTCGTCGACTCGTAACCTTTGTACATTTGGTTTGGATGTTTCGACTCTACTCCTTGATGCTGAATAGATTAGGACAATTGGCAAGGCCATGAGCCTATTCTTTTATTCTGATGCATATTTGACTGGTCATGAGCCTATTTTTATCTGTGATGTTTGTTAAAAGGCCAAGAGCCTATTGATTGTTCCTCTTTCAAAATTCAAAGCTTCGTTCATTCTGACGTTTGACTCGGTTTTGCGTAAAAATGTAAAAAACATCTCCTTGTCTTTTCAGTTTCAGCCTTTAAACTATATTTGTCATGAGTGTATCTGTTTTGGAAGGACTTATATAATATATATAAATTACGGGATAAGTTCAGATAGAGTAGGATTTAGTATGCGCGAAAGATCGTCAGTCGAGTCGACCTGAATTGTAAGTTGGTCCGAGAAATCAGCACTCCGATACTTGACACATAAACGGGTCAGTCGTAGGCGTTCAACCGCGCGGATACCTATGCTACGACGATCGAGAAAACTCCCTCGTCCGACCTACCTCTACAAAGGCATGTAAAAGCCTTCGCGTGTGGGCCGGTAGCTCAGCAGGGATACGCCTACTAGAGGGTGGTGACAGCCCCTCGGGTAGAGGTGAGTTGTACCTCGCGACGTGCCGACCTGTCACGGGGCGTTGTGAGAGGTATAGCCCGCGCGGTGACTTGTTGTTCTTTCAAGAATAAATCCTGCGTAACACGACCGTGAGGTTCAACGCTCCCCATCATAGGCGTGGGACCGCCGCGCGCGACACCGTACATAAAAAGCATAAGACACCGATCGATCCTTAAACATTTTTATCAGTACACTAATTGTGGCAACAAGATTCACACAACTGTTGAACTTTCCTTATACTACTTCCAAGTATAGCACAACAAAGTTCACACAAGAACCCACAACCCCAACGCTCACTCATGTCCCTGCATATATAGCTATCCCAAAATTGCGGCTCACAGCAGAAGCCTTCATTAAAAGGGCGATGGAATTGGGGGATGGCCCGTCGACAGAAGAAGGAAAGGAAGAATGGTGGATGCAATGGGCGGCGCTGCAGGCTTAGTGGGAGGAGTGGCAGATTAAAGATGCGGAATCTTGGGGACTGCGTAACAAAGCCCAATGGACAGTGGCTGCGGGACGTATGACAAAGACGTTCTTCCGACGTCTCCACTTCAAACGGCCAGCCTCTATGATGGTGACATTACAGGCCCCGTTCCAACAGGATGGACCACTAGCTGACAACACTCAGGACATTCTGCAGTTCGCTCATGAGTTCTACTCCTACCTCTTAACTGAAGAACAGTCCTGGCCGCCGGAGGAAATGACAATAGCCCCGACCAAAGAAATTTGGCAGAACATACAATTTTTTTATTTTTTTTTTACCATAACCCCCCCCCCGAATAGTGCTAGTGATACTAATAAGAGCAGCTATCACTGGCACCCGGGGAGGGGGCTCCAATCTATTGGTGGGGAGCGACACCTGCTGGGAATCGGGCCCTGCGTCCCAGAGTACAGGTAGAAGTAGATACGAGAAAAAGTGGCGGGGGTATCGACACTGCCCAAGGGCAGTGGCGCGTGCCAGGGTTTGCCAGGAGGCACTTATTCAGGTTGGCCATACAAGGGGGGCCCTTCTGCCGGGAGGCATAAGCACCCAGACACAGAAGGGGTTGCCTGAGATGGCGGAACCTGCAATGCCTAAAGGCAAGCCCCTCACTCCCCCCGAAGGTAATGACCCAAAAAGCCACCGAAACTTATTGCAAACTTCTAACTCAATCCCCCTGCTCGCTTCTATTACCACTCCGGTCCTTCTATACTTAGCCAGGCGGGGTGGGGTTTCCATTTCAAGGCCATATGGCCTTTACCTCCTATTCACTTTTTCTTACAATATGATAGTTTCTCTCTCCCGACTGTCTTCGGATCAGTCCCCTTCCAAGGGGTTTGTGAAGATTTCGACCGCAGCAACTGCGGGACTTACCCATACCTATGATCTCAAATCCTGCCAAACCACCACTTCTACACTCATTATTCAGACAAACCATTACTTATCAGATTTTCCACCCTATTCCTCAATCTCCCCTCTACACCACCTAAACTATTCATAATCCCCACTGTGTTTCTATTACTTCTTACTGACACACTCCTATAGTGTTTGTGCTCACCGTTCTTTAACACTTGCCAGCCTCATCACCGTGGTCCCTCAAAGCGGCCAGTCGCACCCTCCGAACCTCGCTGTCTGCCTCATCACTGTGATCCCTCCGAGAGGCCGATCGCAGCGTCAGGGATCCATTGATCGTGGATGTGTACCAATTTAGAATATGGCGCCCAGGTTTGCTTAAGGAGGGGCCATGCCGTGGCCGATTTCCTTTTGACGTCCGCAACAATGGCCGTTTGAAGATTAACAATAGTCATTGCACGCAGCGCCGCGAAGGTAGGAGGGCGCTGTTGAAAGAGAAGCTGCGTTCTGAGTGCCCAGACCGCTCCCAAAAATGCCGCCCTGATGATCTCGATGGCATACGCCCATTGACCTCGAAGCGGGGGGTCCATAAAGGCCGGGCCGACCAATAAACAGTCGGCCCACTTGTCCGGTTGCATCTCATCGATGTCGCCGCCATCCTCTGGTCTCCCCACCACTTCCAGAATTGTTGTTGCGAGGTGGAACCGCTCCATACATGCGGGATATCCTCGCATTCTGCAGCACAGTGCGGGCACCTCCCGTCTGAGAAAGATGAACGCTTTGCAATCCACTGGTTCGTTGGGAGCGCCAGATGTATGTTCAGCCATAAAAGTCCTGCATGCTTCTGATTGGGAAGCGTCTGGAGGCGGCTGGCCATAGACTTCCATGCGGCAGAGGACCATTTTGCAGTTAGGGCCCCCGTGAGCCATTCCTTTCTAGCCCATCGATGTCGGAGTTCCTGGTCCATCCGATAGGGCGTCCACAACGATCTATAGATAGCTTTCGTAGAGACTTGATGTAACGGGAGGGCATGGCGTTGAAGGCCTTGCTTCCTCCAGGTCCACATTGCAGGGTCGACCGCCAGCTGCGATGGACGCTTGTCCGGGCAGAAGACGTGGTGGGCGACCCGACCCGGAGCTTTCCCATCCGTGACCACTGTGATAGGTCTGACGAGGTCCCTGGGCACCCACCCGTCTCTGGCCGGGGCGCGGACCAAGGGATGTCCAGCAGGACAAACGCCAGGGGCGGGTCATGATATGGGGCTTGCCATACTATCTGCCTGGCGAGCAAAATGTTTGTTAAGATCTGCCGGTCCGGGATGAAGCCTGTTTGCGTGGAGTCGACGATCTGGGGGAGCTTGCGGGCAAGGCGGTTCGCCAAAATCTTCGCCAAAAGCTTGTACGAGGGCGACAGCAGGGAGATGGGGCGCCAATTGCGGATCTCCTTAGGAGGGCCCTTTTTATGCACCAGAATGATAGTAGCAAGGCCAAAATCCTTGGGGAGGGGTTCTGACGTCGTTGAAGCCCTCGAGGAGATGCGGCAGGAGGGTATCCACGCAGGCCTTGAGATGTTCCACCGGCATTCCATCTGGTCCCGGGGCTTTCCCTGAGGGCATTTCCGCTAACGCCTCGCAGATCTCCTGCTCATTAATTGGCTCGTCGAGGTCTCTCTGGGCCGAGTCCGACAGTCTTGTGGCCATCTTCTGCCAAATGTCTTTGGCCGGGGCTGTTGCCATTTCCTCCGACGGCCAGGACTGTTCTTCAGTTAAGAGGTAGGAGTAGAACTCATCAGAAAACTGCAGAATGTCCTGGGTATTGTCAGCCAGTGGTCCCTCCTGTTGGAACGGGGCCTGTAATGTCACCATCATAGAGGCTGGCCGTTTGAAGTGGAGACGTCGGAAGAACGTCTTTGTCATATGTCCCACTGCCACTTTCCATTGGGCTTTGTTACGCAGTCCCCAAGATTCCGCATCTTTAATCTGCCACTCCTCCCACTCAGCCTGCAGCGCCGCCCATTGCATCCACCATTCTTCCTCTCCTTCTTCTGTCAATGGGCCATCCCCCAATTCCATCGCCCTTTTGATGAAGGCTTCCGCTGTGAGCCGCTGCGCACGCTTAGAGGCGAGCACGGCCTGCTTGAGCAATCTATCCAGGGCCGCCGTTCCATCCGTTAGCCATTGGAGGGCGGATTGATCCTGGTGCCAAAGTTGTGTCCAGTAGAGCCAGTGTTGATTTGCCATATTGCAGTACCGCTCCTCTGAGAAAATCCACCCCGGGACTGTAGACGGTGGGGGCCTGGTATGTAGCTTTGTAGGGATCGCCAGGATGATGGGGATCATCTTATGGTCCGAGCGAGCCACCGGGACAATGTTAAAATCCAGCAGGCACTGTGTGGCGGCCTGAGACAGCCAAGCCATATCAATTCTGTTGCGTTTTTTAAGGGCCGGTCCCACCCATGTGACGCGTCTCTCATGGGGCCAGAGTATTCTAAAAGCATCCTGTAGCCCCATGTCTGTCAAGGCGTCAATCATGGCGACCACATCGGGCGAGTAGGGGGCGCAGGTGTCAGAACGAGGGGGCGAGTCTACCATCGTATTAAGGTCACCGATCAAAATTAGTCTATCTACTTCCGGGATGTTAGCGGAGAAAGCTCTCCAAAACTGGTATTTGGCCCTAAGCTGTGACGGGGCGTACACCGTCACAATTAGGGCGCGCTCCCCGGCCAAATCAATATACACCTAGGCCCAACGACCCTGTGTATCCACAAAAAAGTCCAAAATCTGCCCCTTAAAATACTTGGTGCAAAGGATGGCCACGGCCCCCGCCGTGCCAATTGCAGGTGCCCAAAGCTGGAAGCCGACACGGAGGCTTGCCGTGACCGGCGGCAATTCTCCATCAGTGAGTCTGTTTTCAGACAATTTAGTTTCTTGTAGACATAGGATGTGGATGCGGTCTCGGTCTACCAGTCCCTTGATTTCTTTCCACTTCGTTCGGAAGGAGGATGCACCCAACCCTCTCACGTTCAATGATGCGATTCCCAGCAATTGTGCCATATTACGTGGGCTAACTACAAAGTCCTCAACAATTGACCTTCAAGAGTCTGGATTGTTTTTGTACCTACTCGTCGCTCATATTCCAACAGGCCGTACAGAAAAAGCATAAGACACCGATCGATCCCTGAGCATTTTTATCAGTACGCTAATGGCGGCAACAAGATTCACACAACTATTGAACCTTCCTCATACTACTTCCAAGTATACAAGAACCCACAACCCCAACACTCACTCATGCCGGATTGCGGCAAGAAGATTCACACAGCTGTTGCACTCTCCTCAAAAGCATAAGACACCGATCGATCCCTGAGCATTTTTATCAGTACACTAATTGCGGCAACAATATTCACACAGTTGTTGAACTTTCCTCACACTACGTCCAAGTATAGCACAACAGAGTTCACACAAGAACCCACAACCCCAACACTCACTTGTTCTGGATTGCGACAAAGAGATTTACAACCGGAGCTCACAACCCCAACGCGCACTCATGTCATTGCCCATATCTATCCGAAATTTACCGAAAATCCCCAGCACCGCAATCAATCCAATTCCAGTTCAAATGGCCGATCATTGGAGCTCACTCACGCCCCCCTAGATATGGTCGTTCTCCACTTCCAACAAAACATCAAACATCGGCCAATCCAGTTGTGGTGCCAACTCTCCAGATGACTGTTACGTAGGTTACCAGTCATCACCTACAAGGGTCTTCATCGACCACTGCCTGACCCAACGCAGACTACCACCTGCTTCCCTCCTCGTCACCTATCATCGGCAATTGGTCCGACCGTGAGCATAATTTCTACAAAAGCTATTACGAACGAGCCACAACAGATCGGCCAGTCCCATTGTGGTTCTGCCCGCTGAACAGTATCTGGGCTTTCCGACTGCGTGAAACTATTCTATCTGTTATTTTCACCAATTTGCCAGTCTATCCCCAATCACCTCCCCTTGCTGATACCTATCCTCAGCCATTGGTCCAACGGTGAGCAACAAAATTTCTACGAAAGCTATTACAAAAAAAACACAGCAAATCGGCCAATCCCTTTGTGGTTCTATCCTCCGACCAGTGTCTAGGCTTTCAGACTCGACATGAAACTATTCTATCTATTATTTTCAGCCAGTCTATCCCCCATCACCTCCCCTTGCTAATACCTATTTTGACTGGTACCAACTATCCCTCCGTCGCCCTCCCTCCTTGTTGCTCGCTATAGTACCGTCAGTTATCCATGCTCTCCCGTCATCTAGTGATCCGGCATTTACAATGAAGTGGTTCACCCTCCCACAGTACCCCTTCCTTTACAAAAGTGTACAACCCACTTCGACTGTTACCAGTCGTCCCTAGTTCAGTAGTGCTATCCTTCTAATGTCCTCACACTCCAATCCCAGACTAATAGTCCTATCATACAGGTATCCTCCCAGCGGAGTCGCTCTACCAGCTTAACTCTCACACTTCAAATCACACAACGTAGACGGATTCCCGTCGGGGGGTCCATACCATTTTTATCGCGTCACCTTGCTTATGCTTTAGCAGGCTTGCGACGCAATCGAGAGTTCGAAGCCATTCCCCGCAAGACAAGACGCGGTATCCTCGGCATCTGTCTTCCTGTCTGACGCGGCCCTCGAAGCCATGTCTTCGGATCCGTGATAAAGGAAGGATGCATGAATCTTTTATTCTCTAGCAGTCGCTTGTTAACGAGGGCGAGGATCTTCACTGTTTCACTGTAGGTAGTTAAGGTCTCTTCCGGATTCGGCAATCCTTCAGTTTGTATTCGTACTGGAAATCAAAATCAAATGAGCTTTTGCCCTTTTGCTCCACACGAGATTGCTGATGTCCTTGGGCTCATCGTAGGACACCTGCGTTAGCTTATAACAGGTGTGCCGCTCCAGCCGAAGTCCTGGCGTGCACGTGCACACGGGCCGGGGTGGATCGCAACCAGGGGGGAGGTGCGCGCGGATATGCAAGGGGGGGGGATGGCGGAGGATGGCGGAGGGTGAAAGCGGGATAGGAAACGGGAGTAGGATCGCATTGGCAACTGGGTTAGATCTGGGTAGATCACGATGGGGAGGGGGGATGCGTAGTCGCGGTGAATCGGGAAGTTGGGATTGGGAGATGGGGAGATGGGGAAGGCGGATTGGAAGGGAAATCGGCGGGAAGGTGCGAAGCGGATCGGGATCAGGCGATAGGGTGGAGGGGCGCGGTGGGATGGGTTGATCGAGATGTAGGGGGGGGAGGGTGTAGTCGCGCGGTTGGGGGGGGTTCGCGCGGTGGGATAGGGGAGGTTGCGCGGCGGGGGGTTGGGGAGCGGGGCGAAGTGGGCCGGGGAGGAGAGCGTGACGGGATGCGCACAGACGGGGCGGGGAAGGAACGGAGCGGGCGGGTTTGGAGTGGGAAGTGGGCAAAGCCGGGATCGGGGTCGGCAAAGGGGAAGGACGTGCGAGGGGAGAAATTGGGTTGGGATTGACAGGGGGAGTAGGGCGGAATCGGGATTGTGGAGCAGCGGGGGAAACTCGGGGTCGGGGGTTGGGGGTGGAATCAAGAGTAGGGAAAAGGTCGGGGAAGGGGAGGGAAATCGGGATCAGGCAGGGGGTGGCGGAGCAGTCGCGCGCACGTGCGCGCAGGCGCCATATGGGGAGGGGTTCACGGGGGGTAGGGAGGTGTGGAATTGGGAGGGCAGCGGAAGCGGGAGTGGAGCGGCGGG